TTGAGTCAGCATTGACTCAATGGCAGTACGTTTTCTGTTTTGGTATGTTTGCAATACTACTCCACACACTGTATTAGTTCAGATATGGCTTTGTCTTCCTTGGCGTAGACAGCCTCCTAGCTAGTCATAGAGACCTTTGTCCTTATTTTCCTCAATAAAACATTAATATGGGATGTGGTTCTCCTTATCTGAATCACCCCAACTCCATATTTCCAGGATTATTTTCTATAGTCTTTATGTTTGACTTCCTACAGATAGCATTCTCTAAATGTTTACCTCTGTTTTAATTTGTTAGTGGACATTAATAATCCTTTTGGATGGCAGTAGCAACACAGCACTGCCAAGAATTTATCAGAATTATCTGTGTATCAATAGTCCCCTAAAACAGAAATTCTTGAAAGTAGTCATTGTTTCATTTGCTTTTACCATAACTTGTGCTTAAAAACTGTTTCCTGAATCATAGTAAATATGCTTAATTTTAGTTAAAAATGAAATGAATAAAAATTACTTGATTCATTTTTTTAGTGAATGGGTGAATGTTGTAAATACGTTTTCCTTAAATTTGTCCTATACCTAATATTCTCAGGAGGCAAATAAATGCTTTTAGTGTAATTACCTCTTTCTTTTTTCTGAGTTTAATATATGAGTACATAATTGAATTGCCATTTGAAGCTGAGTACGAAACTGCTAAAGACATGTGGGAGAAAGTAAAAGGAAATCATACTTGAGTATTTTCACATTACTTGTGAGCGAATTTTCAATGTTTCAGTTCAACTGCACCTTAACTTAAAGAATGGAATTTACTGTTCCTATTTAAGTGCTGTTAGGCACCATACAGTCAGGTACAACTAATCTTAACCTCTCTGTACAACAGAACAAAATGCTGCCTGGCCCCGGGTCACCCTCACAGTCATTGCGACCTTTGAGATCACTATTGTGAATGCCGTGTCAAGCATTCTCATGGAGCAGCTTCCTCTTTTTACTGAGCCTCCTCTGGGACTAGTCTCATGGTCATTCGACAAACCCTCATGACCCTTGCTTCAAAGGAGTATACTGGCTATACTTTTCCCAGGGCTTGTCTCTGTTCTCTGGAAGTCCATGGTCCAGCAAATCTTCTGTGGTCTTCCTCAGATACTGTTCAGCTCCACATGAATGCGAAGCTATTAAAATACCATAACTTGGGTCAGGCACATCTTAGTCAACAAAATGACACTTTTTATTTTGCAGCAAATTGTCCAGTCTTTGATTTCTCTCACTTTATGATGACAGGGTTCTGAATAAGGCCTTTTAGTCATGTAACAAGTGATTCATGGCAAATTTGCTAAATTCCACACACAATACTTAAACAAAAAAAACTCAAACTAAAATCAAGGGGAAAAATGCACACACCATGTTTCAAAAGGCCAAAAATACAAAAAGCAGTTAATTCTAGGTCACAAGTAAGAAGCATGTTGACTATTGACCAGCACAGGTTTATGTACTATGTAGTTTGAAACGTTCAGAAGAAATGACAGAAATCATTGGGAACAGCTGATATATCGAGAAAATAGAATGGAAAGTAAAACAAAAGGGAAAATATATGTAACACTGAAAAAGAGCAAAATACTGGCACACAGGACCATATGAAAAAAAAGAAAGAATAATAAAATAGGTTGGGCATACATTCTTCTATAGACAGCCAGTGCTCCTTAAAAACCAGAGTGGCTCAAGGTCATCTCATGAATTTTGGACATGATCTTAGCAGATGCCTGTCTCTAGAAGAGGCTATCATGCTTCATAGAGTAGGTCAGTGAAAAGAAGACCCTCAGCATTATGGGCTGACACAGTGGCTGCAGCGATGGGCAAAAGATAAGGACACATGGAAATGGGGCCAACCTGGGCAGTGTTTTCTTCTGTTGCATACAGAGTAACTATGTGTCAGGACCCAGTCAACACAATAACAATATATGAGCAATGAAATCCAGATAGAAGAGACTTTATAGAATAGATTCTGAAAGAATAGCAGTTGGAAGGGTAAGAGAAAGGATATAAGAAAAAATACAAGAAAGGTACAGAAAACATGAAGTCATTGGATATATACAATTTTATATACATAAAGTTAACATTGAATTTGTAGTACTTCAAGAGTGATGAAGGCAGAAGGGCTAAATACACCTTAATTCTCCTATCCAAAAGAAGCCATTTAAGTGGGAAATTTATAACTGAAAATCAATCATTTAAATTCTCTCTAACATCACCCGAGGGCATATACTACATGGGGAAATATTTAATCTTGAAAATGAACTAAATGTTAGTAAGAATACAAAGTCTTTGATTATGAATTATGTGTGATGCTTGCCTTCCTCCCTTCCCTACTCCAGTTTATAGAAACAATTCTAATGTGTCTACCCTGGACACGGGTAACTAGGTCAAAGGGTTTCCCCTGCTGCTTAGTCCCAAGTTTAGGACTACTGGTAGAGGAAAGGAGAACCAGGCTTGTTTCTCTTTCTCTGTGTAGTCCACGGTTATTTTCTGATAAGTTCACTAGTTCTCCGTCCTGTCCTCACTTACTAGTCTCCTCCAGGTGTAGCTGTCTTTACATACCAAGACTTCAAATGCCAATTTAACTCAATAAATAATTAACATTAGGTGGGGCAAACCAGGAAGCTAGCGACTACATGTCATCTTCCAGCACCAACTGTAGAAGGTCAAACCAGGAGAACTGAGCTAATTCCATTGCCTATGCAGTGTCCATGAGTCATTCTTAACACTTGTGTTTGATGTGATTGGCATTACATAGAACAAAGTATAAAAAAAACCCATGTATAATTGTAAACAATGGAGCTACTCAACAAAAAACAAATTAAAAAAACAAGGGTCTTCATAGTCCCACAATACCAATCATATTATGAAAGAGAACAGAGAAACTGATGCTTAAACACGGAGGAACAAAGAATAGAGCCAGCCCACACGTCAACCCTGGGGTTCAGGAATGGCATCTGAAAGTTCTCTGTTTACTCAAATGCAATTATTGATAAAGGAGGGACGGATTTTAAAGCTTCCTTTATGTTGTATAGAGTTCCATTAACAAATGGGTAATTGTTACCATTGTTACTAGAGGCATAAATGTTCCTCCTGAATAAAACAATGTCTTAACAATAACCAACTGTGACCCAGGGCAAACTTTTCAGGGTATGAGACATAAAGGTAAAAGCACACACTGCGGAAGGCTGTTGCTTGCCAATGCTGCAACCTCTCAGCTGCTCGCAGAAAGGAAAAGAGGCAAATGAGGAGCTCCTATTAAAATGAGACGAACTGATAAGCTCCGTGAACTGTGATTATAACCCCAAAGTCACACACACCTCCAATAGTAATGGGTAAATGTTTAATAAGTAGTAGGGTTTGCTTAAGAGCCCTGGTGGCTTAGTGGTTACACATTGCGTTATGTCCTTCAGGGTTGACAGTTCAAATTCACCTGCTGCTCTGAGGGGTAAAATGATGAAGCTGTCTACTCCCTAGAGTGTCAGTCTCAAAAACCTACAGGGACAGCTCTATCCTGCCCTATAGTCTTCGTAGGCCACCAATGACTTGAGGGCAGTGAAAGCGAGAGAAACCTTACTTGTAACATTGGGACAATCAAAGAGGTCTAGTTACACACAGTGAATGCCCCTATCTAGGCAATCTCAAATGTCTAAACAGTAACAACAACATCAACTGAATAGAAGAAGCACAAGCACTTGACACTGCAGTGGAAACACACTCGACAATAAATAAGTCACTAAACAAGTCACAACAGTGGGATCCATCTTCACGAGAGATGGATAACCAGCTAGCAGACTTGCTGCATTCTATCACATACAGTGTAAGGGAGAAACAATCCAAACATCTTTCAAATTCTGAGCAAAGAGAGCCATGTATCCATACCATAGAATAACATTTAGCAATAAAAATGAATGAACTTCTGAAACATAGATGAAACGTGAAGATATTGGAAGTGAAAGAAGCTAGTCTAGTCACAAGTGACCACATGTTGTGTGATTCTTGTTGGCTATCTAGAAGAGACAACTTTTTAGATGTAAAATATAGATCGTTTTTTGCCTTTAGTTGAGAGCGGAAGATGAGAAATGACTGGTAATGGGTAGTGTATTTTCTTTTAGAGCTAGTGACGAATGTTCTAAACCTTTACTGTTGGAATTGGTCAAATAAATCTATGAAAATACCAAATGCAAATGAAATGTAAAGGCATTAAAAATGCTAATGATCCATTTTAAAATAAAGTTTTTTAAAAGGTGTAATGATTTTCAGTGTACGTTTTTCATTAATTAAAGGAAAAAGCCAAAAGTTAAGCTTTTAATTAGAGATACTAACACAAACATTTATTTTCTTATGTTGATCGATTTTTTCCCCTTAGTTTCTCATGTTGATGTAATTTTAAATTCATCTCAAATAAATAATTATAAGCTAATGGCACTTGTCAATCTGTTACATTTTAAAGTAACAAACTTAAAAATTGTTACATCAAAAATCAGTTGTAAATATTTAATAGTGACTCAAGCTTCATCTTAATGCTAGAAACCATTTTCAGAGCTTGAAGAAAGTTGTTTATGGTTTTGTAAACATTAGAGAAGGAAAAAAAATCTTGGCTTTTTTTTTCTGTTTGTAAAATTACATATTTATAAACTTTATGACTCTCACTTCTTCCTATGCTTATGATATAAATCTGGGGTCCTAGGTTATTGTGAAACAATTATTATTGAAATGCCACATGGAATGTTATAATAGTTTCTCAATAATGAAAAAAGGCACACAAAAAAAGAGAAAAAGATGTTAGAGTATTTGCTTCCAGACAGTAACATGACTTTGAATGATAGCTCAATTTTATTATTTTAAGACTTTCAAGTTAGATCTAATACTATAAATCCCATTGTACTCTGTCTATTACCATGGCTGCGTTTTAAAAAACAAACAGAGTTCATTGTCAAACCAATAGCCTCGGCTTTTCTGATCTCACCAGTGCTCACCTTTGTCTCGGCAAACTGACGAGGGGCTGCTGGCGGCATCTCTTGCTGAGACTGAAGAGCTTGTGCACAATTTTCTGGGCCTTCAGGACAAGGTGCTTCATGCTGCTCTCCAGGTGCTCATAGCGGCGCTGAAAATGAGAATCCATTGTCCACAAATGCATGATTGTAGAGGTGTTGAGGAAGTAATTCATGGGCAGCCTTTTCATAAAGAGCTTGAATTCATCTGAAAAATGTTAAAATTCAACAATTTAATTAAAAACCAATGAACTATTCCCCTCCACCCGAGCACATGTAATACGCTAACTTAATAACTACGTAAAATATTTTAGGGTGTCAAATTAATAGAAATATATACTTTTCATGCTTAAGAAATATTATGTGTGCAATCAAACATCCAGGGTAGGAGAAAAGTAAAATAACTTGTGCTAATGTAAACAATTTGGGGAAAATATGTTAGTACAATTATTCTCTTGTTCGCCTGTAGATGACATCTAAATGAATGGCAGGACACACTTTTAAGTTTCTCCATGTATTTTAACCTGTGGTTTCATCTGCTTGACGTGAGCATTGATAATGCTGAAACCTTCTCCTTTTAAATAGCGGATAAGCCAATTAAAGGAATATAAATGATACTATAGTAATATGAACAAGAATCTAAAATGTATACTTTTATCTAAGTACAAATTATAATTTTGCCTTCCCTGCAACCTCTCTTTGTAAAGTACTATTTTGGATTGGAATTCAGAATATATATTTGTACTGCTTTCAATGCTTGCTTAAATTATTTATATCTCTAGGGATATCATGTTACATCTAATTTGCATGTAATATGTTAATGATATGCCTCTACCTATACACAAACATACATACACAGAAACATATGAACATCACCAACACTTCAAAATTTGGAAAGGATTTTCAAGGATTAACAAATATCAATGAATATTTAGTACAAATACATTTTAATATCTGGTATGCAAATAAAAAACTATATTAAACTTCAGTATTTCAGTGACTTAATTTCCTCTCTGTAAATGATATAATTCTGTATATAATATAACACAATAAAATATAATTTGTGTTAAAATCACATGATGTAATCAGAGTGGCACTCATAACACCATACATATACATTTTAGAGCAATTAATTTATATTTATTTAAACATTAAGCATATTTCAAAATTAATTAAGCCTACTTTAAAATTTAGGACCAAAATATTTTAATAAAAATATCTCAAAATAAAACATTTTAATAATTCAGAGTAAATTACATTCATGTGTATTGGAGTTTCTAGTTATTATTAGAACCAATAAATATCGAGCATTTAATGTCCTCCAGCTATTAAGAGTACATACAGAAGTTGACCAGAATAAAAAAAGGAAAAATAAGACCAAAGATGACAAGGATTATTTTACTTTTATCAAAAAAAGATGGGAAAATATTTTAGATTACATATCCACTTAATATACTTCAAGCACATTTTTAAGTAAGCAGCTTATAAATAATATATGAATTTCAAAGTTACAATTTGATAGTATCCTACATTCTACTTTGTCCCATATGTCTCTTTTGAGAGCTTTTCTCCTTTGAATGAAGTTGCTGAGGCGTGAACCTTGGAAAGTGCCCCTTGGATTAGACACACAGCAGACACCACCCCTGTGAAAACTAGGAATTCATTTAACTGCCATGCTGCACTAGAACACTTCTGATAAGCCTTGATTGTTTTCTGAGTATACCTATTTTATTTATTTCTAAAATACTGTGGAAAACTTGCTAAATCTGTAAACTTTATTCAAGTTAAGGAACATTTTAAAATGGAATGTATTTACTTAAGTACTTGTACACTATATATACATATATAGTAGTAGTGAACTTTAACTGAAAACGGTCAGTATGTACTTTCTAAGTAATAGTTTTAACATGACATTTGAATAATTGCTTCATTATGAAGTCATTAAAAGTCACTAGTGACAGTCATCCAAAATATTTCCTGAGCACCGGTTGTGCAGAAAGCATACAAATGTTTCAGTCTATGACAACAGTATGAATAAACCTCTCATTGAAAAAGGGCGAGCTAATCACATGCAATGTTTTCAAATGCTAAATAACAATTTTATGACCTGAAATCGGTTTTACTTAGAAGTTAACAGAATCACCAGATATATTCCTTTGAATCAATTATCTTTTACTTTTGGCCTTTGGTAAAATTCAGATATAGATAATATAAATAAAATATGAATGACAAATTTAGAAATATTACATATCTAATGATTTGTAAACTCCTAAAAGAAACTATGCAAAGTAGCTTCGAAAAGTCAATTAAAAAAAACCCAGATGATTTTTAATCCTGCTTTACCCCCCACATATTTTTTAAAGGCCCCTGATAATAATTCAAATCCTCAACAGAGCCACTGTCCCTGCGTTGATTCTGAGTCACCTTGACCCTTTCTCAGGTTTCTGTGACTGTACATCCCAGTGGACGTAGACAGACTCAGACTTCTACTGTGGAGCAGTGAACGGGTGGGTTTGCACTGTGGATCCTGCTGTTAGCATAGCAATCCAATATTTACCCTGCAGCCCCATCGGTGCTCTATCTGTAATAATTAGACAATGTCCGCCCTCACCCCCACCCAAAATTGTCTTGTAACACTTTTCAGAGATTTGTAAGAAACATTTTTTTTTCTTTTGAATTATAAACAAACAATGACTAACTGTATTTTTTGAGATGAATATATTTCAGAGGAAAGCAAATCAGCCATGTTAAAATCACAGAGGCAAAATGAATGTGGAGTCTAGGTTGTTCAAATCTAACCAAACTCATTGCAATTGGGTAGATCCTGGTTCATAAACACCCTGTGGCAACACTACAGGTCAGAGGAGAATTGAATTTGTGAGTTTCCTAGGCTTCAACACTTTACGGGGATGAGGGCTTTAGGTTGGTACATTAGCAATGCTGATCCCACTGTGCCACTATTAAGAACATATGAATTACTTTTGAAAAATATAGTATTAATAGATAACTAGTAAACTGAATATACCTATTTATTAACAATGTATAAATTGTGTATGTTACTCTGCATTGTTGGGAAAATAAAATACCAACCAAAAACAGTAACAATGGTATTAAATATTGTCTACTTAGAAAGTCAGAAATACTTTAACAAAACATATTTATCTGAAACAAAAGATAATCCAGAAGGAAATGTATGGTGTTATTAAATTATAAAGAGGCAAAGAGAATTAGGTTAGGTGACAATTATCAGATAAGTAATAGCTGCCTTGCTAGACAAATTATTGACAGCCACAGCCCAGATAACTCTCTGGAATACAATTATTTCTCCCTGAAAATCTATTTCATTTAACCAGTCAAACTAGTCTTGCTATTCTTGTTCGTTTGGTTTGCTGTTGTTTTTGCTATTATTTCTCATTTTCCCTCATAGAATCTATAGTTAACACTTGGTGTCTAATCAACTAAATTTGAAACCCGTGATCCCAAGTTGTCTTTTTCCCTGTCTCCTCTAACAGATGTGTTCTCATTTTTGGCAGGTGCTTCCTAAAGTACTTTAAACATTGTCTTGATTAATCATTCAATTCTGTATGCAGAATGCAGAGAATCCTTAATCACATAAATACATTATCACCAAAAAGTCTTTTGTTAACCTTTTTGTATTTCATATTGATTTTATCTTTCTCTATAGCTATGCTACTTTCATTATTATTCTTCAAAAACGAATGAAATAGATGAGGGTGAGAACCTGAAAATATCTAAGTATGAAAGGACCTTATTTATAAACATATGATCCCAACTAGTAGCTCTGCCTATATTGATGGGCACTACAAATATGGACAAGTGTAATTGGTTATATATTTTTAAATATGACTAACCTGTATTGAATTATTTAAGGATATATTTTTAAATATGTTGTAAAGCTTCCTGCATATTCTATTATTAAGAAGATATAAATGACTTTTGAAAAATATAGAAAATGAACCAAAATGACAACTAATTTATATGTGAATTAGAGATCCACAAAAAGAACAGAGAACAAAAGTTGTGGCCAATGGAAAACAGATATACAGCTGGTTTAGGCATGGAGAAGGTGTGGGTGGGAATTGGTGCTTTGCTATTTCTATAAATACATATGCATACATTAATTTGAATGACACCTACAAAAATATAGTGAATAATTATAAAACACACTCAATATTTTGGATTAGCAATCAAAAAATTCATCTTACACTTCAGGCATTTGAAAAAAATGGCATTATCTAATTAATTTCTAAATGTAAAACTAAAAGTTTAATGGTTTACAGTTTAAATATTTTTTTGGAATTAAATTTTTCATTGGCACTAAAGTAAATTTTTCATTAAATTAATCATGCTACTTGGATAAAACTTTTTATTACTATGAAATGCTAATATTAAATAGCAAGTATAAATTTTATTATAATTAAATACATAAAGAACATGAATACAGAGCATCTTAAAAAAGACAAAATTAGCAAATGACCATGTGCTTTATAAATATATAAATAAATCCTGAAATCCTCAGTTTAACATAAAGGTCGACCGTTGCTGATTTTATGACATTATGAAACTGATCACTTCCAAATATCACTTGGTAATCTTTCGAAAGAGAAATTTTTTTTCTGAAATAAATACAAACTAATAACACCATTGTTTTACAAACTTCTTAAACTATTTCTAAAGGGCAATTTGAATGATCTGTATCAGTTATGATTTTTCCGACTTTTATAACAAATCACAGCTACAACTTCAAGTGGACACATCCCAATGAAAATCTATTCAGAACCATGTGCATCGAGTTCATACTGAAACAGACAAAATACTATATAATGCAACATAAAGTAAATGGCATGTTGGTATAGTAATGTGTGAACTTGCCACTTCTATGAGGTCACAAAGTAGTATCTATGTAAAACATATATCAAAAACAAATCTTAATTCCTTAATAGCTTTCTGAAATACAGAAATGTTGTATATTTCTTGTTTACTCTTTATGAAACATACATTATGCTTGAATAGGTTAAGCCAAATACGATACTGTGTCCGTCACTACACTTTCCTATTTAGGAATTCCCTTCAAAAGTTTTTTTTTTAATCAATTTATTGGGGCTCATACAATTCATCACAATACATAGATCAATTGTGTAAAGCACATCTATACATTTGTTGCCCTCATTATTCCCAAAATTCGCT